GGTCTTATCTGACACATTCACTTTTCCTCATTATTCTTATTTTTCAGAATTATCTTACTAGTTTTTGCCCACTGAACCTTTTAGATTAATTTAATGTCAGTTTGCCAAGTGGTGTTAAAATTTTTGTTGGCAGTATCATTTAGGATCATATTAAATTTATAGATTAATTTGGGAATAATAATTTCTACAATATTGAAACTTCTAAATCATTTATTTGAATCTTCTTTCAATTTCTTCAATAAACTTCAAAAAATTTTTACATAAAGTTGTTATACATTTCTGGCTAGGTTAAACCCAAGATCAGTTCAGTTCAATCACTCAGTCGCATCTGACTCTTTGCAACCCCATGGACAGCAGCATGCCAGGCTTCCCTGTCCATCACCAACTCCCAGAGCCTGCTCAAACTCATGTCTATCCAGTCAGTGATGCCATCCAACCATCTCATCCTCTGTCGTCCCCTTCTCTTGCCTCTTCAATCTTTCCCAACATCAGGGTCTTCTCAAATGAGTCAGCTCTTCAAATCAGGTGGCCAAAGTATTGGAGCTTCATCTTTAGCATCAGTCCTTCCAATGAATATTCAGGACTGATTTCCTTTAGGATTGATTGGTTTGATCTCCTTGCAGTCCAAGGAACTCTCAAGAGTCTTCTCCAACACCACAGTTCAAAAGTATCAGTTCTTTGGCGCTCAGCTTGCTTTATGGTTCAACTGTCACATCCATACATGACTACTGGAAAAACCGTAGTTTTTTGACTAGAAGGACCTTTGTTGGCAAAGCAATGTCTCTGCTTTTTAATATGCTGCCTAAGTTTGTCATAGCTTTTCCTCCAAGGAAAACGATAATGTAATTCCAAGATACATTATAGTTTTGGGGGTTTTGCTGTTTGCTTTTTTTTTTAACTGTAGTTTTGACTGTATTTTTTCCTATTGTCTTATTGATTATAGCTTGTGTATAGAAATGCTGTTGGTTTCTCCATGTTGGTTTTATATCTAGTCATTGTTTTAATTTTAAACTTTCCTTATATTGTTGTGAATTCTTTGAAGATGATACAATCACCTATAGACCATAATATTTTGTCTTTTCTTTCCATTTCTTTATACCTGTATTCCTTTATTCCGTCTCATTGCATCACTTAAACAGCATTCATTAGGAGTGACTGAGGATGTTGTCATCCTGATGGGAAGCAACAGTGGTCCAGGCGGTGGAGAACTGGGTGCCTTCAACTTGGTCACCAGAGCTCCTAGTGCCAGCAAGCTCCTCTATCAGGAGGAGCCTGCGGGATGTCCCTGGTGGCCCAGGGACAAGGCCTCTGAGCTCCCGACGCAGGGGGCGTAGGCTTGATCCCTGGTCAGGGAACTAGAACCCACATGCCGCAACTAAGTCCCAGCACAGCCAAATAAATATATAGTTTTTTTTAAAGAGTAGACCAAGATAAAAAGAGTAGGTGGAGAAGCAGGAAGTTATTCTGAACAACACCGGGACCGTTGCCTGGAACCATAGAGGAAGGAAGTAATGGGCATTTAGGGAGCTGTCACAGACGCAGCCTACCTCTTGGAGACTTCTACTGTGGAGAGGCCTGAGAGGACCAGTGTGAGATTTGTTCTTACTTCATGAGCCAGGTCTCAGCAACAACAACTACAGGTGTTTATGGGCTAAACCGGTGAGTGTTTATCAGACTTTGTGAAGAAGATGGCTCACTGCCTTTGAAGACTAGGATAGATCTCAAACTACCTAGAGAGAATGAGGGCTTGGGGGCAGTTCTTGTCCCTCTCTGCATCACCTAAGGCCTGTCTTCTTTCCGAGCCTTCTCCTGCCGAGCTGGCTGCTCTCTGCCCAGCTCTTCTCCCTACCCCTGCTTCAGGATTCACCGGCATGCTCCACCACCCCCTCTTGACGTTTTATTTTCCTGTGTCAGTCTCTCCTCAATGTTTCTTTTCCTGATTCTGAGGAAGCTGGGTGAGAGGTTCTATTTCCCCCTCTCCTTATCCCCCTCTTCTTCCGCCTTCATCTTCTCCTTACTTCTATCTTGTCACATCTTTCGTCTCGTTTTTACTATCCAGGTGCTCAAGGGTGTCCCCAGACTAGGACTAAGCTGGTACAGGGTCAAGTATAATGTGCAGGGATTAAAAGCCAGCTAGCACTAGTGGAAAGCCAGTTTGATCTAAAGGCAGCAAGAGGTTTGGAATCACAGAGAACTAAGTTCAAATCCCAACTCTGCCAGGTACTAGCTGGGGGACCTTATGCAAGCCACTTACCTTCGCATTTAACATCTGTAAAGTGGGGATAATAAGAATAGCCTTGGACTTCCCTGGTGATCCAGTGGTTAAGAATCCATCTGCCAACGCAGAGGACACAGTCCATCCCTGGACTGGGAAGATTCCACATGCCTCAGAGCAACTAAACCCACGCACCGTAACTACTGAGTCTGCGCTCTAGCGCCCACACACCGCCAGGACTGCGCCCGCCTGCAACTACGAAGCCCACACGCTACGGCCCATGTGCTTCAACAGAAGAGGCCACTGCAATGCTCTCATTGCAATGCTCCCGTGCGCCACAGTGAGGGGAGGCCCCTGCTTGCCGCAGGCAGAGGACGCTCACTCCCAGCATCGATGACCCAGTGCAACCGAAACAGAGTAATTTTTAAAATTAAAAAAAGAATAGTCTCGTTCTAAAATTGAGTTAATCGTGTGAAATGCTCAGAAGAGTGCCTAGTATAACTTAAGTGATCAATAAATGTTAGCCATTTTTATTTCACTCTGCATGGGGCAGACTAGAGCACTTTTTAGAAAAAAGGAAGTCATCCCTCTATTAGTCTCCTAGCAAAGTATCACACACTGGATGGCTTAAACCAACAGAAATTATTACCTTACAGTTCCGGAGGGTAGAAGTCCAAAATCAAAATGTTGGCAAAATCCGTCTTTGTTTCTTCCTAGTTTCTGGTTGTGGCCATCAGTCCTTGGCATTACTGACTTTCAACCCCATCTCTCCAATCTCTGCCTCCACGCTTACATGGCATTCTCCCTGTGTCCAAATTTCTCCCTTATCATAAGGACACCAGTCATGTTGGATTGTTGTTGTTCAGTCGCTTCGTCGTGTCCGACTCTTTTGACCCCATGGACTCTAGTCTGCCAGGTTCCTCTGTCCGTGGGATTTCCCAGCCAAGAATATTGGAGTGAGTAGCCATTCCCTTCTCCAGGGGATCTTCCTGACCCAGGGATGGAACCTGTGTCTCCTGCATTGGCAGGCGGATTCCTCACCACTGAGCCACTAGGTAAGCCCTATGTTGGATTAGGACCATTCTAATGACCTCATCTGAACTACAGAAGACCCTGTTTTTAAATAAGGTCACATTAACAGGTACCAGGGTTTACAGATTTAATGTATCTTTTGAGGAAATGCAACTCAACTCATAACACTCTCCAAATGTTTTCATATTCATCTTCTTGGCACCCAGGTTGCTACCACTAGGTGAATTGGGATGGAAGCCTGGACTGAGGAAGCAAACAACTCTTTCATTTTCAACTTTGGCATTCCCACCCACCCACAACCACTTCCTAGAAGGCTTCCAAAACTGCCCTGGGGAGTTTACCCATTTTTAAGATTGCCACCTGCTTCCAATGACTCCAGTAATATCTGTTTCCAGGACTGATATTATCTTGCAAATATAGTCACTCAGATTTTAGATAAGATCAGACCCATTCAGGGCAGTATGGCTGTAAACAAGATATTAGAAGATAAAAGTCTTTCCCAATTGCTCCCTGTAAGCTTCCTTCTGAACATTCCTCCTTCATCTCTACTTTTCTCTAAAGCTAAACTCAGCATTCCCTCAGTCCTGCTTGTGCCCTATACCAGCCTCTCAGGACACAATTTTTCCAGATCAGGCATCTTAGAGTCATCCCTGACTTCTCCCTTATTATAATAGTTCTCAGCACTTACAGCTCTGAGACTCCAGTGAGGGAATGTCCACAAGTTTTATCTTCAACCTTTCAAGAAGCTAAATGGAGACCATGTCCGTCGTAAGTTCTCTAAATTAATCAGAGTTCAAGTTCTTTATTGTTGTCTGATAAAGTGTGAATTCTGGGAAATAACACAGCTATGTAATGACGATCAGAATCCCTGATTGGCTGTATTTGAATCAGAGTTCAAGCAGAGTTCCCTGCTGTCTGTGTAGGTGGCAATGCTCCTGCTGGACAAAGGGTGTCACAGGACAAGACAAGAAGGCCAACTTCCGCTAAATTTCTTCAGCAAGCTGCTCAACTTTCAGCAGAGGAACTCTGTGATTCCAGGACCCAGCACTTTCTCCTCCCTGACTCCGCCCACCCCCCACACACACACTCCTGCTCAGTGAAATCTTTTCCTTCAGTTCTCTATGCTCAGATCTGATGATTCTCCCAGTCCTTTGTGAGTCTGAATCTTTCAAGCTGTCTTCGGTTTGCCCAGGTTTCTCCAAGACAGCATCCAGGAATGGCCTAAGCCACTGAGAATCCCCAGCAGGTTTTGGACTCCAGGTTCCATCTGATTTTACCTTAACCTGCTCTCTGAGCCTCTAGGCTGGACTATCCACACAAAGATGGTCCCAGTGGGGGCTGGCCAAGTGATTGTAAGCTGTTTCCACCTGTTTCCTTCCCTGTCTTCCTTCTCACCATCCCTCCGCACTCCCATTCATTCTCCTTGCCTAGATTCTCAACACCCTGATTATGCAAAAGGGCTTGGATCCAGAGGCTCCAGGCTGTCCTCACTTAAGCGGGTGAGTTCAAGATAAGATAAATTAGGATCCTCTACGCAACTGAACTGAATTGCGGTGAGGCCAGGACTAACTGCCTTTCCTTCTCTGGATGTTTGGATCAGGAGATTTAGGTCTTTCCTAACTGACAGGTCATAGGGAACAGATCTGGGGCTTAGAGGTAGGAAGTACATGGAGTGTTGAAGTCCTGATTTGTCCCTAGACTCGGGCGATAGGCAGGGGGACAAGGCCCCAGAGGGAACCTGCACTGGACGTACCTCCACTGTGCAGCAGTTCGTGGGCAGAGACCACAGGATGGCGCCGTGAGATGGAGCTCTTCCAGCTGACACGCCTTGTCTGGATGACTCTGTCCCAGCCCCCAGCCGCTCCTAGTTCTGTCTTCCCATTTCCTCTTCAGTCCTTGAGCAGTGGTGGTGCACGTGAAGGGCTTGTTAGAACACAGCTTGCTGGGCTCCACCCCCTGACCTCCTGATTCCCAGGTCTGACGGGTATCCAGGTGATTCCGATGCGGCTGGTCACGGGAGCACACTCTGAGTACCACTGCTCCCGACAGAAAGCTGGAGGCACAGAGCCCCCTGAGGGCCATCACCGAAGTGAATCAGGATGTGTGTTCCCTGAGGGCAGGGACCAAGACTGATGGCCCTCTGCACCAAGCGCCTGGCCCTGAAGCTGCCGCGTGACGATGGGACTGAAATGGCGTGGGAAGTAAGCAGCAGGTGGGTGGTGAAGAGACTGGGAGTGGACTGCCAGGAGGGACAGGGTCCCAGGTGGGTGGGCTCATCACATAGCTCCCCACAAAGCGTTCTTCTGAGTCCCCCCAAAATCTCTGACAAATAGCTCAAGTTTCACAAAAGCAGCTCAAGGAAGAAGCCCTCCGCTACCTTCCTGCCTTATCCTTGGAAACAGAGGATAAACAGGAGCCTAAAGCTGAGGGTCCTGGCGCCCTCAGAGAGTCAGGGTGTTGTGGACATGTCCACATGACTCACTCAGCTTTCCCCATGGATGTGTCAGCTCAGGGCTCTCTGCTCATAAGAGGGAAGTTACCACTGAAGGTGGGGGTGAACAGATTTCCCAAAGCCAAGCCCACCAGAACTAGATCCCTCTCTCACTGGGCTCCTTACCAGCCCCCTTCCTCTCTGCTGGGCTCTCAGAGGCACAGTCTCCTCGGCTGCTGAGATACAGTCTAAGCAAGCCAGGACAGAGTTCCAGCGAAGGCAGAGAGCAAGATCTCCTGGTTTCACAGAGAAAGGAATTGTGGTGGGGACTGTGGTCTCTCTGCAAGTTAAAATGTGAGGCCAGGGTGAGGTGGGAGGTGGAGGGGGGCATGGGATGGGTTGGGGGAAGGGACAGTTAGCGAGTTTGGGATGGACATGTGCGCACGGCTCTATTTAAATGGATAAACAACCAGGTCCTACTGTACAGCACAGGGAACTCTGCTCAATGTTATGTGGCAGCCTGGACGGGAGGGGAGTGTGGGGGAGAATGGATTCAAGTATCTGTATGACCGAGTTTCTTTGCTGTCTACCTGAGACTGTCACGACTTTGTCAATCAGCTGCACTCCGATACAAAATGAAAAGTTAAAAAAGAATTAGGCAGCAGCCTTCCCCATGGCTCTGTTCTCCTGGAGAGATGGCTGCTGAACTTCTGAGACAAACAGAAGCTGCCACAAGAAGGTTGAGGACACGCTGGAGGCTGGCTGAAATGGGACCTGAACTCAGGCGGCCGGGCTCTCAGACAGCAAAGGGCTGACAGACAAGGGCTGGGCCGGGTGTGGCTGCCTGAGGTCTTCCAGTCCAGGTCTGCCGGGATAATTCACTCATATGCCCCAATTCCAGGAGGAATAGTTTTCAACCCAGTCGGTGGCCATCTTGGTGAGACTCTCTCAGACCTTGAAGAAGGCCCAAATATGGAGACGTTGAAACAGGAACTTCAGAAGAAGAGCAGAGCCTTCCTGGACAGTGAGATTTACCAGATGATGACTCTCAGTGGCATCGTAAGTTCTGGTGTTTTGAGTCTGCCCTGTGGGAAGCTGTTGACAGGGCCTCTCTGACTCGGGCTGGGTCTTGAGCTGCTAAAACCTTTTTTAAAGGCTAAAAACATCTGGAATTGGGGATGGTGAGGATAATGAGGTGAGTTCTATGGTGCTCTAGATGGAGTGAGGCAACACATGATGGACTTGCCTGGTGACTCAGATGGTAAAGAACCTGCCTGCAAATGCAGGAGAAAAGACACGGGTTCGATCCCGGGGTCAGGAAGATGCCCTGGGGAGAAAATGGCAACCCACTCCAGTATCCTTGCCTGGGAGATCCCACAGACAGAGGAGCAAGGTGGGCTACAGTGCATGGGGCCACAAAAGAGTCAGCGACTAAGCCATCAATAGATGATGCACATATTGTAATTATCAGACAGAGATTTTAAAGCAAGTGTAATAACAACACTGAGTGGTAAACTCACTTAAATTAATGGAAAAATGCTCATCAGAGAAATAGAGACTGTAAGAAAATTGAAATATGATATCAGGCATAAAACACTCACTGGACAAATTTCAATAAGCAAGATGGAAGTGACAAAGGAAGAAGTTAATGAACTTGAAAATAAGTCAGTAAAAATTATACTAACTGAAGAACTGAAATGGGGGGGAAATGATTGAAAAGATAAACAGAACCTTAGGAACCTGTGGGACAATATTGAAGATCTAATGTTGGTGTCATTGAAGTCCTAGAAAAAGAGGAAAAACAGCAGTGCACCACAAATTTAAAGAAATAATGGTCAAAATGTCTCAAATTGGGAAAAGACATAAACGAAAAGAAGCACATAAACTGGATGAACTCAAAGAAAACCAGCCGTACACATCAAACTGAAACTACTGACAAAGATTAAACAAAAAAATCTTAAAAGCAGTCAGGAAAAAATGACACATTACTTACAGGAGAACATTTGAATGATCACAGAGGTCAAAGGATGGTAAGACAGCTTCTGTAAAGAGCAAAGACCTTCCAACTCAGAATTCTATATTCGGTGGAACTATCCTTAAGGAATGAAGGCAAAATAAAAATATTCTCAGATAGTGGAAAACTAAGAGAATTTATCACCAGCAGCCCTGCTATGAAGGAAATTATTTGGGCTGAAGGGAAATGATGCCAAAGAGAAACTGGGGACTTCAAGAATGAAGGAAGAGCAAAACAAACATAAATATCTGTATAAATATAAAGTATTTTCCCCCTCTTAAGTTCTTTAAAATGTACATGAGTGCTCAATGCAAAAATTACAGTGGTTTTTGGAGCAGTTTTCATGTAAGACATGTAATACACACAATAACTATACAATGGTGGAGGGTAAAGGACTTGTATAGTTACTTTACCTTTTATTTGAAATGGTAAAATATTTAACTCTAAATAGACTACAAAAGGTTATTTATTGCTATGGGTTGAACTGTGTCCCCCAGAATTTGTATGTTGAAATCCTCAGATGTGACCTTATTAAGAGATAAGCTCTTTATAGAAGTAAACAAGTTAAAATGAGGTCATTAGGGTGGGCCCTGATCTGATATGACTTCGAATTTAGAAAAAAGAAGAAATTTGGACCCAAAGATAGAGACACAAGGAGAATGCCATGCGAAGGTTAGAGTTGTGCTGCCTCAAGCCAAGCAACAACCGAGCTAAGACAGAGGCCGCACAGAGCCTTCTGTGCACTTTCGCAGGAGCGCGGCCCTGCCCACACCTGATCCCGTACCTCAGGCCTCCAGAACTGCGGGAAAAGCAATCCTTAAAGCTCCCCAGACTGTGGTTTTTGTTACAGAAGCCCCAGGAATCTGACACAGGTATATACTTTATATCCTCTAGAGAAATCACCAAAAAGGGGGAAAAAAAAAAACAGAGATAGAGATAAAAATTAATACGATAAAAATTGATATAAAAAATGATAAAATCAAATACTAAGGAGGTTCAAGAGGGAAGGGACATATGTATGGCTGATGCATATTGATGTATGGCAGAAACCAACACAATATTGTAAAGCAATTATCCTCCCATTAAAATTAAATAAATGCTCAAAGAAAAAATAAAAACAGGAGTTTCTCTCTCAGAAAAAAATCAAATACTAAAAAATATTCACATAATCAAAAGAATGCAGGAAGAAAAAGAGTAGGAAGGGGGAATAATAGAAAATAATAAGATGGTAGAACTAAATCTAACCTTTATCAATAGTGATACTTAATATGAATGATATAAACCCCAGTTAAAAAGCAGAGATTATCAGATAGAATTTTTTTTTAAGTCCTGACCATATACTGTTCTCAAGGAAAAAAAGAAACTTCAGGTATAAAGACATAAGTATGTTGAAAGTAAAAGGATAGAAAATGATATGGCAATCAAAAGAAAACGAATGATTACATTAATATCAAAGTAGTCTTCAGAACAAGGAATATTATGCATAAAGCATAACATAATGATAAAAGGATCAATTAAACCTTAAATATGTATGTACCTAACTACAAAGTTTCAAAATACATGCAAGGAAAATTGGTTGGACTGAACAGAGAAATACACAATTACACTTGGAGACTTCACACTGCTCTCACATTAATTACTAGAAAAGACGAGCAACTAATTTGTAAGGACATAATTTGGCCACCTGATGAGAAAAACTAACTCACTGGTAAAGACCCTGATGCTGGGAAAGATTGAAGGCAGGAGGAGAAGGGGACGACAGAGGATGAGATGGTTGGATGCGATCACAGACTAAATGGACATGAGTTTGAATAAGCTCTGGGAGTTGGTGAAGGACAGGGAGGCCTGGCATGCTGCAGTCCGTGGGGTCACAGAATCAGACAGGACTGAGCGACTGATCTGTAGGACACAGAAGACCTGAATACCACTATTAACAAGCTTGATTTAATTGACCCAACAACAGCAGAATTCTTTTTGTTTGCACATGGAACACCTACCACAATAAAACATACTCTAGACTGTTTGGGGAGGGAGGGAAGCTTTTTTAAAGAACTGAGATTATACAAGGTATCTTCTCTGAGCCAACTAATAAAATTAAATTAGAAATCAATAATAGAAAAAATCTGGGAAATTTCCAAATATTTGGAAAATAATATATGCACTTCTAAAGCAATTCATAGGTCATAGGTGATACATGATATCAATAGGCAAATTTGAAAATATTTTTATTTGAAAATATTTTAATTGAAAAAAATTTAATTGCAAATTTGAAAATATTTATAATTGAAATTTATAGCATTAAATGATTATATTAGGAAAAAAACGAGGTCTCAAATAAATACTCTAAACTTCCACCTTAAGAAACTACAAAAATTAAAGCAAATTAAACTCATAGCCAATAAAGGGAAAAAATAATACAATAAAATTTAAAACAATCAAGTTGTTTCACTGAAACAACAAATTCAAAATAATAGAATTGATTAAACCAAAAACTGTTTCAAGAGGATCAATAAAATTAAATTTCTAGCCAAACTGACCAAGAGAATAAGACAGAAATTTCCAAAATCAGGAATGAAAAAATGAACATAGATGGAAAAATCCTCCATGAAATATTAACAAATTGAATTAAACATGATA